AGGGACTGTCACATAAAAGGGGATAACAATGCCTCTGCATTTTTAAAGCTACGTGATTATTACTGCACAATGTTTAGGACAAATTCCTAACTGTGGGTTTGGAGGGAAGCAGAAGTAGGAAGGGGAAGCACATTTGGCAGCACATTAAAATGAAAGGACTCCTGTATTCTCTGGTCAGTAACAGTAAGCAATTTTCGCTGTAGCTTCATGTTGGACTAGACAAAAGAGAAACATATTCTCATCTTTTGACTCCTTTTAAAGCTCACTGTCTTATCAATTTACAGATGAAGTACAAAATAGAAATAAAATAAGGAGTAAAGAAGTCTTCTGAAAATCTTCAAAAGTGAATTGCCCATGGCTATGCTTCTATGGAGCAAGAAATAAGTCAGGACACAAAACGTGGTCATTATACCAAGAGAACTGAACGTCAGAACATTTCTTAGGTTTGAAATTATTTGGGCTTTTATGAAATAAAACATGAAACCAGTTGGCAGCCATGTATTCTTAAGTCAAAGCAAGAAGTATTGTTGATTCCTTGTTTCGGGTTTTTTGTGTGTTCCTAACTGATCATAAGATGGTTTTGTGGATCCTTTGTACGGACTGCATGCAGCTTGGTTCTGCTTTTCAACTAGAATATCAACCAGATTGTGTCAGTCCTATGCTCGTGTGCATTTGGAAAGGTTTATTGTCCTCTGTCTTTTTTTACCTCGATGCAAATATATTTCACAGGAACGTACAGAAATGAAAATCAGCAGAAATTAGTATTCCACTCCCACGTCAATGCTTAAGGAGGACAATGAAAAGTTAAACGGGTGGTTATAAAGACTTAGTAGTTCCAGTATGCATTGAAGTCTTTCCAGTAAAATGAAAAGTGATAGACTTCTGGGATTTCAAAGACAATGGTGCTATTTACAAAGACCCCCTCCATTTCACAACCCTTTGCCCATCCATATCTATTAGAACATGTCTTAGAAAAATTCCTATCAAATGCAAGGAGGTACACCATCAATTGTCATCATTACCTTCTTAAATCGTGGCTAAATTTGCACGGTTAACTATCATGGTTACTGCTGCCACAATCTCACACCACAGAAAACATAGAGAACGGAGTAGCTAGAGCAAGAACATTAGGAAAAATATGGAGGTATTTATTAGATTATTGTGTCCATTTAAAGCAAAGGAAACAATAGACCTTATCTTAAAGCTTAACAGGAACACAGTAGACTCAGCAGTTTGGTTAATGCTGGAAATCCATGGATTACGATTCAAACATATCATAGAACATTTTTCGTTATTTCCAGAGAATATCATCCTCTCAGTGAACACCTACAGAAATTGTTTCCCCTTTAAATGTCCGAAGATAAATAAAACCACAGGTAGGCAGAATATGTTATTTTCAAAGAAGTATACTTAAATCTGAGGTCAGCGTGCCCGGAAAAGTTCAGGACAGCTCATGAGTCCCATAAACAGGATACAAATTGCTGAGGAATGAAAGTGGCCTAAAATGTATGACACAAAAGAAAGGATACTTATTGAGATGCAGAGAGATCAGTGACCCAAACATAGGAAGGATATGGACCTATTGGAGCGAGTACAGAGAAGGCCACAAAGATGATTTGAAAAATGAACTGAAGCACCTCTCTTATGAGGACAGGCTGAGAGAGTTGGGGTTGTTCAGACTGGAGAAAAGAAGGCTCTGGGAGACCTTATTGCAGTCTTCCAGTACCTAAAAGGGGCGTCCGGGAAAGATAGGGAAGGACTCTTTATCAAGGAGTGTAGCAATAAGAGGAGGGGTAAATGGTTTTATACTGAAACGGCATAGATTTAGATTAGATGTTAGGAATACGTTCTTTACACTGAGGGTTGTGAGACAGTGGCCCACGTTGCCCAGGGAGGTTGTGGCTGCCCCATCCCTGGAGGTGTTCAAGCCCAGGCTGGATGGGGCTTTGAGGAACCCAGTGTAGTGGAAGGTGCCCCTGGCCATAACAGGGCGGTTGGAACTAGATGGTCTTCAAGATCCCTTCCAACCAAAACCATTCTAAGATTCTATGATACTACTATCTCAGAAATAGCTAAAAAGCTACATTCAGTTTTCTACTTTGCCGCTTTGCCAGTGTGCAGGTACATTTCATACGTAGCCTATTTTTTTCTTTCCTCATTGTCTGCTGCTGGGTTACTGTGAGAAACAAAACTCTGGCTAGATAGATCACTGTTCTGCCCCAGCATAACTTCCCCCTGACATAAAACATGTTTGTACCTCACTCGTTGCAACCTTCAAGGAATAACCTTCCTTCTGGCAACTCCTGGTATCAGCACAGCATTGACCCTGGATAAACTCATACTGGATCACCTTTCTTTCTGATAGCCCAGAACATTCTCTAAAACTGTAATATTTTATTAGACTGGTGGAAAATCATTAAAATTATACCTACCAGCGGATGTGCAAAAAAATCTTAGATGAATTCTTTGATTTGAAACCAGGGTCACAAAAGTAGGAATAACAATCTCAACAGAATAAACTTTTTCAGTGTATTGAGATTTTTTTACAGGTCACATAACAAATGATTCCTTCTATTTGATTTTTGGTTTCATGTCCAATTTAGAGGGGTCTTACCACATATTCACCCAAGAGGAAACATACATACTTAGCCCAGAATTATACTCTTCTACAAGTTTTATAGCATGAATAGAAAATAAGCCTTTCTCAGTTTGTCCTCAGCACGTTCTGAGAGACAGAAGTGCTGAACAGGTAAAACTCAGAGTCGTACTTCCAGTTCTGCCTCTAGCCAAGTGTGTGAGTCTGAATTCGATATTTCATTTTTCTGTTCTCTATCTCCCTCTCTCTTCTCTTACTTAGAGTGTTGGTTTTATGAAGTAGAATCTGTCTGTTACTCAAGGAGACCTGCATCTAGATTAGGTCCTCTAGGCTTTTATGTACTTATAATTCATCACAAGCTTTCCTTCTCTTTATGATTATCTATTATTCATATTGTGGCAGCGTCTAGAGACCAATAAGTTAAGATTATGACAAGATACAATATATGGATAAATACAGATGACAGGTGGATAGCTAATAATAAATATGGGTGTATATGCATAACTTAATGGTGTCAGTAACTACTAATGCTCCTTTTTTCCAATTAGATCTAATGATTATTTTTTTCCTGAGTACTACAAATGAATTTGTAGCAATTCCATAGCAGTTTTACATTCTTTAGAGTTGTCATATGTCATCTTTATTTTGTAATATTTTTAATGGTTATAAAATTACTAATGGCATGAAGAGTTTATATATGGGAGGGGGTTTTATCATTAAAATAACACAATTTACCAGGAGTTAATAGTCAGGAAAAGTGAATTACTATATAAATAACAAATCAAAAGAAATAATATAATTAGCTGTTCTACTTAGCAATGATGTAACTTTATAGATGTTAAACCTGAGTTTGAAATTTTTGAAAATTTAAAGATAAAATTTGAAAAGATAACAAAAAATTGTTTTGGTTGAGGGTGCTGGGAAAACCTTTTATTTTTTTTTCTCCCCAAAGCAATCTTTTTAACTAATAATATCATTAGTGCCTCCCACTTATGAGGTCCAGATTCTGCCATCTTCTTCTAGGTATAACTGAATATTACACATGTATAGTCCCTATAAATGAAAGTATAAGTGAAAATAAGTAATAAAGCAACACTTAAATGAATAAACATTCAGTTGGGCTGATTTCTACCTCAATGTGACATACATCTTTTACTGCACTCATTCATGTTCATAATTATAATACTGCCCAAAAGATGCTCAACAGCAAGAAAGAAGGTCTGGAGGTCATCTGGCTCAAACTCCTACTCTTGCAGGGCTACCTAGAATGGGCTGCCCAGGACTACATCTATACAGTTTTGAATATCTCCAAGAATGGAGACTCCACAACCTCTCTGGGCAAGTCTGCCAGTACTCTCCTGTTCTGGGGAGCACAGAACTGGACACGGTACTCCAGGTAGGGCCTCAACAGTACTGAGTAGAGGGGAAGGATCACCTCCATCAACTTCCTGTCAACACTGCTCCTGATGCAGCTCAGGAAACCATGAGCATTCTTTGCTGCACGGGCACATTGATGGCTCATGTTTAACTTGATGTCCACCAGGTGCCCAGCAGGAGACATCTTGCTGGGTGCCTGGTGGACATCAAGTGGATATATCAATAGATGATACCCAATACAACAACAAGAATTCAGGATTGTTCAAGGCATTAAATTACGTGGGTTTATACCCTGTAAATATCTTCCAAATTTGTACCTGACTTAAGGGAAAAACTTTTGAAATGTTTTGATGAGACACAATTTTTGCCACAATTTTAACTGGTTTAGAAACAGAAACTCCATTCAGTCAACCAGAATTCATCCCAGATCTCTTCCAGCTCACTATCCCATTGTACCCCAGCCATATAGTCGTGCAACGGTCAGCATTTAAAGATGGTGCCTTATGTATTGCAGACATATGAATATTTATGATTCCTTAAGTTTATAATGCAGGTGAACCTGGTGGAGTTAGCAGAGTATGTGACCTCAAAGCACAACTGATTAAATTCAGTAGGCAATTGATTTTTCTAGAGAAGGTCAACTAAGAGTTTAAAAGTGGCAAACAGTACCAAAATAACAAAACTTTTAAAAATGCATTCCAAACTGGAATTTTTACATTACCTTAGTGTTTTGAAAGATTGCTTTCTTGTAAAATTTTTAGTTTCTGTGTTTATAATTACATAGCCATTAATAGAGCACAAAGCCACAAATCTGTTGTTGAAAGATTTTGTGTAAAGTATTTCAGGAAAAAAACCCACTATGGTATGACCATGACACAATTTAATTGTGATCACAAAATTAAGGTTTAATCTGAAGTTGACAAATCTTGCTTCTCTCTAAGTGTTATTTAGGAGCAGCTTCTCATTGCATGGCAATCTCGAATAAGCAGAGATTGAAAGGGATGAAGAGAGAATAATCTCTACTCACCTATAGTTGGATCGTGATAGTCAGGGAACCGATGGCTTATGAACTGCATTGTCATTGCTGCAGAGGAGAAAAGAATGATATTACTGTCTTTAAATGACAACAAGGAAAAGTACATGTAGCGAATTCACTCATCCACGTATCAGCTTAGAAAGTGAATCAAAAGTCGTTTATGTCTACAGCTGCAAGAATGCATTGGTATTACAGTGATAAAGAAGAAATGATAAATGGAAAAAATATGAATTAAACTTCTTTATTTGTCTTAATTTCTTCCTTTTAAAAATGTATTTTATCTATTGCTGTATTAAAATGTTACATCTTTTTAACATTTGGTAAATACTGTTAACCTAATATTGTCCACAGACAAAAATTACCATGAAGAAAAGATAAAATATAATTTATAAGGCTGATTCATAAAAGTTTTCATGATGTTACAAAATGTCACTAACTACAGTACAGTTGCATTTAAGGAATACCTAACTCATTACACTTGATGCAATAGACAAAAGTTTTTATTAACCACCTAGAGCTTGGTCGCTTCTGAACACATTGTTTTATGGCTGATTATTAGCTGCTTTCAGAAATTTTAGGAAAGTTACATTAGTCATCAGTAAAATTGCTTTGCATCACTTGGAAGAGGTGGGGCTCTGGAAGTGAAATTCCAACTTAAATAGAAAGCCAGAAACATTCATATCCTGTCCAACCATAAGTTTCCAACATGCCGTCTAAAGTTCACAGACTTCAAATAACCATGAAAGTAGGTTTGGGTATCTGATGCTCACAGTAATAGTATCAGTTGTCATCATCAACATGAGACATGAGTTGTTATCATCAACATGAGAAGTTATGTTATCTTTGGTGTCTTTCCTCAGGAGTTTGAATCTCAGCTCATTTGAAAAGCAAAGGAATCTACCTAGCACTGAGAGCAGTGAAGACAAGACCTTCGAAAGTGAAACAGGTGAATTCCAATTGAACAGAAGGGGGAAAAAATAAGACCTAAAATATGTTTTAAAAATATTGCTTTATTTTTAAGCCAATTTCATTATTTTAACTTTTTTTTTTTTTTTTTTTAATGCCTGCATTAAAATTCCACTATCATTGCTATGTGGCCATTTGTTAAAAAAAAAAGTACCCCAACTGAATGATAACAATCAGTCACAACACGCTAAACCAAACATGAGATTCTGGCTTGAACATCTCAGTTACCTTTAAAATCAGATGTTATGAACAAGAAATGTGACATTTTAAAAATTCTGCATATAAATACACCCATTTTTAAAGCATCGTTGTTTTAGTTTAATGTTTGCCCTTCTTATATTTTCAAGAATCAGGGGGTTGAGGAGAGAGTTTTACAAAATGATACAGATGAGGAGCATTAAACATTTATTACCATGTTAATAAATTATTGCATCTTTAGTGTAGACAAATATAAACATTTAGAAGCAGCATTATAAATTCATAGTAACTCAGAGAGGGTAACTGTGTTAAAAAAGCTCGTTCAGTCTATACATGTTATTGGGGAATAAATCTATGTGCAGTGACACTCGTCATCTATATTATCTGTTGTTAGATGCATTACTTTTAAGTATTGTGTATGTTTGGACACTTTCATTTCCAGGACAACTGTGGGGTTTTTTTAATCACAGCAGATTTTTACGCTCCTCCATATGATAACTCTTAGTGGTTTATGAGGAATAAATTGATGCCTAATGTGATCTGCGTAGTTTTCTCTGAGAAGCAGAGGCAGCTACCAGAGATGCTGTTCATATGGTTTATGCCTACGCATTTTGAGCTTTCTGAGGGCCTGTAACACAAATGAATTCAATTTGTTTTGCTACCTGCTGCTTTTTCTTGCCAAGCTTTTATTTTTTTTTTAAAGCAAACTACTCTGTATCTGATCTTATTCTGTTTGCTTTTGGAGCTATGCCTGCATCACAAAATGCGTTGCTACAACTGAAATGGAAATTCTTAGAGGACACCCGGAACTCATGGTAAACATTTTTCCTCTCTCCTGACACATCTCCAAATCAATATATCATTTATATCCTTATTCAATCCACTGGATGTAAGAGGACTGAAATAATTTGGAAGCATCCTACTGATTTTCCACTGTAAGGAGCAAAATGTTAACCACTGGGAAGTGTAAAATTTATATCTCCCAGACCACTCTGTGTGTGTGAATATGCATCATCAAAACCTTCACAGGAACATAGGCTGCACACAGTGTTTTAGAGACAGATCAGAAGAGGAACTTATGTCTTGTAATGTCAAGTGCAACTATACTGACTTGTGTATGCCTGATCCTAGTCTCAGTCCAGACCTCTACGTGAGCCAATTTGGCTATATGCAAAATGAATTGGGAGAGGTATAGAATTTGAGAAAGGTGTTCAGAGAAGCACTCTACATAATGAAATAAAACCATCTCATAGTTAGCTGGCGAGGGAAATAATGAATAAAGCCTTCCTTTTCATACATTTAGTCCCACAACTGCTTCCATGACAGCCCTTTGTCAAGGGCTTCTCCTAACACCAGGTTGAGGAACCTCTTTGGCCTCCTTAGCACTTGTCACCTGTTGCATGGACATGAGCACCTTCTCCCAGAAACAGGTTACATGGGTTTGGTTTTTCAGACCGAAGGAATTGAGGTACACTGTCTAATCTTTTTAATCACTGAATTACAATGTAAAATAAGGAAACTGGGGTATAAGAGATGGGATTTGCAATCTATCATACTCTGTGTGTTATTTGAAATAAGAATTAGCATTTTCTGTTAAACCCTACTCAATATTAGTGCCTCAAGCATTTGTGGAGCAGGCATAACAGGCCACTTCCCGTAAGGGAAAGGAACAACTAGCTTTTGGCTTCAAATAACAAACCTCCATGAGGATGGAGAACCAAGGAAACCTCAGGTCTGATGTACAACAACAGTTGAGTCCAGATTTACCGGATATTCCACGGTCTTGGCTGCTGGATATGCAAAAATTAGTTCTGAATGATGGTCAGGGGTTGGTGGAATGACTCCCAGAGAATAAGAATGCTCAACCACTGCTGGTGTGAAACAAAACAACTCATCTGGAGCCTCAGGAATTAGACCTGCTTATAACAAACTTTGTCTGGGCTCCCCAGTAGGACAGCTGGAATTCACCAGCTTCTTCACTAATACTAACATCAGCTCCAAAGTAATTTTGCAGAGTGAATTAATTTTGAAAACTAATACAAGTATGGTATAAGTATTCCATGCCACTTTATGAAAATACTCTTCCTGGTTCCTCTTATTTTCCTTATCCATTATCCTTTTTTTCCTTCTAAATTAGCACTTACACCTGACAAAACCAAGCCATTATCAGATATTTTTGTGGACATTTTCCTTTGGAAATCCAAATAACACTGCTACAAATTTTTGCAGATGGATAAATTAGGGACCTTTAATTCTAATTTATGTCACACACAAAGCAGTGTATCAAAATGTGGCTGTAAAGCAGGATATTAAAACAGAATAAATGCATAAAACTGATATTTTAATAAACATGTATACACGTAAAAGCAGACTCAGCTAAAAAATGGTTAAAAAAAACCCAAACCAAAACAAAAACATTTTAATCCATATCAGATATTGTGAAACATTTTGAATTGCAAGTTGCCTGAAAATTTTTCATGAATATTTTATAACACTGTGAAGATCATTCCACTTAAATGGGATATGTACATCGCATGGCAACTATGATAAGTAAAAGGATCATTGTTTCAGATGAATAGTATCTTCTTTATATCCATCTGTGGCTAAGCAAGTGCAGATTGCCTCAGCTGAATAAATGTAAGCCTGATATGCATGAGCATGTAACCTTAAAGTTCTCTTGTGTTTTCAAAATAAAAAAGGAATTCAGATCCTCCATTTAATTTGTAGTTGTTTCCAATTATGCTTATCCAATGTTCATTAACTATATGGAAAGGTATATGTGATACCTATGCTGGCACTGAAATATGTATGTTTTCTATGAATAATAAACTTAATCCTGTCTGCTACTTTCAGTATAATTCCTGCTCTCTTCCTAATGATATTTTATTTATCTCACAGTAGGAAATGTCATGCTTAGAAAAAGGCCGAGGTTATATTATTCATTCTAAAGCATGCTTTTGATCAGTGCAGCAATATTAAATTTCATGTAAAGAAGGTATCAACTTTTTAAAATATCTATGTTTGTGTGGGTCCACAGGCCAACAGAAAAAATAATTCAATACCCATGCAGTTGTGAAAGCAGGTAGAGCAGAATCCCACTGTCCTTCTAATTTTTCTAAATTTGACTTGTACCTACAACTTTGAAAGTAGTCCTATACCTATTTTTCAAGGCTGGAGAGTACGTTGTGAGCTTACACAATCTTCTTTATGGTAATAGCATCCCCGATCCTCATCTTCCTATGCCTCTTTATTCACCCAAGAGCTTCCAGATATTCATGCTCTCCTGGGTGCTGTATATGATCATATATTAATCTGTTTCCAAAAGAATCTTTACCCTCATCACAAAATCCTACATTTTAAACAGTCTAACAAAATGATCACAGTAGTTGCAACTCAGAGATCTGTGGTTCCATATGGTTGATTCACTTTAGATCCACTATTCCAGCAGATGTTTAACTCGTGTTTTTATAAACATTGAGGTTTCAAAGATACCAGCATAGAAGGTGGACTTAAAAATAATAAAATGTGGTAGAGGTGGCATAGAAGATATAGAGCCTGAAAGCAGAACAGATAGAACGATAGAACCATAGAATTGTTTAGATTGGAAAAGACCTTTAAGATCATCGAGTCCAACTGTCAACTTAGTGCTGCCAAGTCCACCACTAAACCATGTCCCTCAGCACCACATCTACCTGTCTTTTAAATACCTCCAGGCATGGAGATTCAACCACTTCCCTGGGCAGCCTGTTCAGATGATCATATTAACAAAGTGTGCACCATAGGAAGAGACTGTTGCAGGAAAAAAAAAAAAGTAATAAATACAGTAAAATATTAAGAGACATGCTTGCCTCTATCAATCTATAAAATTAAACAACTTTCTAAAA